GTATGCTTTACCACAAAACTGAATAAGACACGTGAATATTTTTAACAGTAAACATTATATATACTGTAATAATAATTATTTATCACCTCACTCCTCTGTGCTGTCAGTCTGTGCATTAGATTGGACATTTCAGTGACTCTTTTTGCAAGTTGCATCGTTTCGCCAGTAGGTGGCGACAAAGGACAGTCTTTAAAAGTGAGTCTTTGAATCATTCCTTCAAGCGATTCGTTCAAACACACTTCTTAATTCAGGAGCACATCAAGTCGACCTTCGTTTTGAGTAAGTCAGTGGATCATTCACTGAACCCATTCATTCAAAAACACACACACACAAAAAAAAAACAGTGATTCATTTAGGAACAAAACAATTGCGTGTTGCTCTGTGACATGCTGTTGGATTTTATTCTGATTTTGTCTTCCTTTGGATCTGTTTTGGTCTGAAGTAGCCTAATTGGCAATTGTGTCAAAAATGTAAGTTACTCAATATCAACTGCTTGTTTGTTGAACTGATGATCTGCGATCTATGTTGTTGGATCACTGCACAGCAATAGGTTATGTATATTAATCAGGTCAAATCTTGTTGCAAACCTCAGTCTGTCTATGTTTCCTTTACATCTCTCTGTCTGCAGTCTTTACTGACTTCCTGATTGTACCCAGCTATCATACTCCATAAAACTGATGAAGCGAGAGCGATGCAGATAGCTTTCTGCCATTAAATATCCTTCCCCCACATATTCCCTCCACTGTTCCTGCTGATTAAAGCTTTTCCTCAGTGTTCATTCACAATGGTCACCAAAATAAGGTCACTTGGACTGATGGTCCAGTATCTCAAAGAATAATCAGGAAATTATAAAATATAGGCTATACATTCTGTAAGAATATGGCTGCAAATATTAACCTTTGGTAATATACATTGTCAGATAGGCCTATTGTAAAGACATTTATATCTGTGTATTTTAGTGTACTGTAAGTCACTGCTAAATGACTAATAATATGTTGTAAGAACTGACAGGTTGACTTTTAATACTGAGAAACCTTTTAGAGTGATATATAAACAAGTCATTCTGTCTCTAACCTATGTGTAAGTCATAAAATTTTCAAATGATAGGCCTATTATCAGCATAACAATTTTAGTAGTGAAAATTCACAATGTCACAGATTTGCTTATATAATTAATGACACTTATTGCTTATATAATTGTAAATAACTATTTCAAATACTTTATAATTTGATTTTCGTTTTTTTTATTTTTATAAAACATAACTTTGTACTCTACATTAAAGAGAAAGTGTACTCACTCTCAGAAAAAAGGGTAGCCTACAAAAGCTGTGACTGAGGTGGTGCCTTTTCAAAAGGTAAACATTTGTATGGTACTTAATGGTACTTTAAATGCACATATTAGTACCTAAAAGGTACAAAAGAGTACCTTTTGAAAAGGTACCGCCCCAGTGACAGCTTTTGTACCTTTTTTCTCGGAGTGCTCTTTACACTGAGGTATGCACAGGGGCAGTCGTGGCTTAATGGTTAGACTGAGCGTCGGACTAATTCTGAGTCTGGGGCACCAAGCACCATACTTGGCTACACGTCACGTCACTTTTTTTTTCAATAGAAAAAAAAAAAACCTGTTACTTCTCCTTATTGACCAATAGGGGGCTGCAAAGATTTTTTTTAACTCTATTTCACTGTGAAAACTAGACTTGGACTACTCTAAAGCAATTTGAAGCAAAAACACTGTAGTTGCTGGATGAAAGATAAAGTTCATATTTTTCTGTGAGTTACATTCACATCTACCCTGATATATTTGTAATAATTATTATTATTTGTAATAATATTATTGTTTTTATTATGAATAATAATCTGATAATGAGCTTAATAATAATAATAATAATTGATGTATCTTAAATTGTTTATTATTTTACAGACCTATCAGATAAATGAAATGACACTGGGTTTGTCCACTAAGTGGCACTAGTGAACACCTCACACACAAGTTATAGGCTACTTCGACTGGGAGGCAATGGTCAGTGTTTTTTTTTTCATCTTGTGGAATGAACCACTGATTGAATTACTGCGTATTTGTATGTTTCTATATTAACTGACCCATTCAGTTCAGTTCACTGAGCTCTCTGCTACTGATCTAATGATCTGAATCGGTGTTATGCAGCGCTGTAGATCCCCAGGACCAGGATTGAATGGAAGGATATTTGTCTATGAATGCTTGTACTGGCCTAAAGTTTGGAACACGTATGAATATAAAAAGAGAGTCAGGGGACACTGCATATTACAACATTTGTGATTGATTTGTTTAATGTGCACAGTGCACCCAACACTAAAAGTGTCATTTTAAAAATTATTTTATTGTTGTCATTTTTATTTCTATAGATACTTCTGTTCTAGTGACACCCAAAGTATTTTGATGGGTGTCAATGATATTGTTATTTAATGCATTTTATAAAGAAAGATTGTGTCAGGAATCATGGTGAAAATACAACTTTGTAAAGACTGAAAAAATATGGTACTTGATATTTTGTTCTAAAATGCAATAGAACATTTTTGGTACATTTACTATAAAAGGTATCTGGTACATTTACCAAATACCTTTTATAATCACATTTGGCCTGTAGCGCAACCACAACTGTATTGTCTTTGAAAATGTATTCTAAAGCTCTTACAAAATCCTGGTTGCCTTTGTCTGTGTGTTTGATCCTGTGCAAATATCCGAAGGAAGGTTACAAATCTGTATTCTTCAATGCATGCATCAACAAATGCATGCGCTGACTATGTCAGTGTGTCATTGTGTGTGATGAAAATCTGATCATTGTATGTCTGACGCGTGCACAGATGGTCCGAGAGTGCGCGCGCAGCCGGGTCGCATTGTTCTGAGTGTGACACTTTGCGCGAGCTAATGAGAACAGACTTGACTCTCGTTTTCCCCTCCAAGCAGTTTTTTTCTAGCCTTTTCTATATAAACACCCTTATTGTCGTCTGTCTCTCATCCGTCCGTTTCCATCTGGCCACAATAATTTTACAAATCTTACAGATTGACCCGGGAGATAGATAGATAGATAGATAGATAGTCCACTAACGAGGCCTGTTCACGTCCAGCGTGGAACACACATACTATCAGCCTGTTTGCCTGGGTGTCGAACTTTAAACTGTACCTTCTGGGATAGCCTATGTTATGTTAGACCACACGTTAAATGCATAATTTTGCATTTCTTTACTGATTGAGTGAAACAATCACAGTTGAGATCAAAGGTAGACCTTAACGTCGCAACATCATCAGTTGAGTAAAAATCTTTAATGTGAAATGACCAAGCCTTGGACACGTACACACACGCGCGCACATGCTCTCTTGCTCTTTCCCACGGGACGCAGCAGACGGGTCGTAATTTGGTTGCCTTGGCCCGTCTGGACAAGCACCTGTCTCCTCTCTGGGGAGAAAGTCGCCTTTGGGCCTTGAACAGAGCGGAGTGTGCATGTGTTGTGTGACAGCATGAAAAGGCATTTTTCATGGCTTTTTAATTGTTAAATAATGTTTTACAGCACATTTCATAATGTGAGCCCATAGTTCATAAGTTCATTGCAGTTGTCGTCTGAAATGGCGTGCGTAAAAGTAGTGTGAACAGAGAACATATTGGCACAATATATGTAATTTCATTTTGTTTTATACAAAAACTACAACAGGCGAATTAGCGTTGAATTAATATTTTTAATATTTATTCTAAAATAGGTATGAAAACTGCGATACAAACCAGTGTACTGGCTATTCCACTACAAAATGACGGACAAACCCCTGAATGAACAGGGTGATCTTTGGATATGAGGCAGATGTGAGATAATTTGTTCACTATAAAATTTCCAAAAGGTTCACAAGAAACACGTAAACAAATAACCTCTATAAATAGTTTCTAAAAGAAAAATAAACTACCTTGAGATCATTTTTGGTCGCAGCAAAGAGAGCGTCTATATGGGTAGCTTGTAGACTTGGAAGGCAAGCACCACCATTTTATGTCTGTGGCCAAATGATTTATCTGACATTGATTATGATGTATTTAATTTAGTCTAATTGTACTTTTAATCCACCACAAGTCATCAGGTACCCAAAAGCGCTATCTATGAGCACTTTGTAAACAAAATAAACACTACAGCAATAGATCCTATCCGATGGGAAGTGCTTCTCGTTATCGTAGGACAGGACATCAACAGCAACACTATTTTAATAACCGTAGTGCACACACAGCGAAGGCCCTTCTACTCCTAAGAAAACTGCCAATGAAAAGTGCAAGTGAAAAGCAACAGTACACCCAAACTCTGCGACATCAGTCTAAAATATTAATAAAACATTCAATATTTACATATATACGGAAACACTTTAGGTGTGCTGTTCAAGGACACACATATTTACTCAATAAATAAATAAACAAGAAAATATAAATTAACAGCTACGTTACGATTTGTTCCAGCACATAGAAGTAGCCTATACATTTTTCCAGACGGTTGGTAGCCTATACAATCAGCTTGGTTGATAACAAGGTTGCGAAAGATAACTGTTAGCTATTTGTTTCGTTTATGTGATGTATTAAGATCCAACCCAAGTCAAATCTCTCCATAACAAATTATTGCCACAAATTTGCTTATGATGTTGGATGTTGAACAGGAGAGCAAATCTTTGAAAAGATCTTGCTGCAGTGTCAAAAACAACAATCTTCACTTATTGCGATAGTAATATTTTCGGTAATGCTTTATAATAACTAAAAGACTGCCTCCCATCCTTTTGCTCCGATTTCCTTTTTCGTAGTAGGCTATCTTAATTAATGGAGACAGACAACAAAACATAGCCTATTTCTGAAAGTAGCTAATTATAAAGTGTTACCCCTTTTTTCTTCTTTTTTAATATTTGTGACCTGCTGGAATATTCTCAATGTCTATAAAAGTATTTTTTTTATACACACTTTAGGGTTTTGTTTTAAGGTACTGGTAAATGTGCCGAAAGTTTTTTTAAACGTCCAAAACGTGGTTAAGATAAGAAATGTAACAGATAGCTAGGCGAAGTATTTCTATTTTGGACAGCTTCTTGTCGGGTGGAAGTGTTGGTAGCAGCTTTCTAAGCTCAGCGAACGCTACGTTGAACGCTTCCACTCTGATGCGCTCGCGCGTGGCATGCGCAGAACGGTATTTCGCAGTCGCGCGCCTCCTCCGTCTCTTCTCCTCTCTGGTGAGCGCAGCTGGTACGAGTGCGCGAGTTTTGCCATCCTCGTGAGCCACACATTCCACCTTCATGACGTTCAGACATTCCGTGTCCGGCTGTGTCCAGGTGAGGTCAGGATCCGTCTGATCGGGGCTCAGCATCATTTTCAGATCCGTTTGATCAAGGCTTCAAAAGTCCACTGATTGTTAACTGCCCTGGTGAATTAGATACAAAGGATTTGTTTTTCAAATATAAATAGTAATCTGTACATGTTATAATACATTCAGTGCAGTAACTGAAATAAAACAACAAAGAATAATTAACTAACAAATCGAACAATTATATCTCATGAAATGGATAGAATTTCTAGATTAAATTATTGTATTTTATCTCCATTTTAAAGCTAACACTCTAGGCTATTCGTTTCTGTTACTTTAAAAACGGTTCAGTAGTTACTAAATGTTTGTGAATGGGTGTCAGTGTGCAGTCTGCTATTTAGCTCACTCAGCACACGTTACCATCAGTAGATGATTATAAATATTCACTGGTTCCATGTAAAAGTTAATGGAAATCAATTATTGTCAAAAATCCAAAGTCAGAGCTGACCATCTGTCGCAAATGCAAATGCAAAGCCTATAGCTCCAGATGACACAAGGGTGAGTGAATCTGAATTCATGGATTCAGTCACATGGAACATTAAAAAAGATTATAAGATGGTTAATGTGTTTATTATTATTATTATTAACGCCTTGTTGATTTGTACATTACACGGTTCAGGTTACTTTTATTTGCATGTTATTTGCACGCCTACTGAGCGATGCAACTGAACTAACGCTGTAAAAATTCTACCCATTACAACTGTACGTTTAATTGCTGTCTTAAAGTTTAAAGAAAAAAATCTAAGCGGTGACAAAGTGACAACCTGCAGTGATTAGTTCTTTGCACTTGTTCAGCCTCTGTAATTAGGCTATACAAGATCGAATTGAAATCCTGGAAACTCAAAGTGGAACTTATTGTGAAACGGATTAAAACTAAGATGTTGTTATCATAAAAAGGTGACAATATTCAATATCAGTGTACATAATTGTTTTGCGGGGGGTGACAATATACATGATTGCTTTGCGGAGCTACTCATTTTTATAGACTGTTGCTATAGCTAATCATTCAAAATAATGCAATTTACAACATGAAGATGAGTGAACATTTTACAAAATTGATTTAAAACTCACCTCTGTTGATGATGTATTGCACGAGAATCAGTTTATTCCCCCCAATCCCTTTTATCAAGTCCGTTTTCAGTCAGTGATTCATGTTCATCTGTCCATTGTGCTTTCTGAATATTTATTTCAGCATCAGCAACAGCATTTCTCAGTAATACTTTCCTCGCCACAAATTCCACACAGCCGGCAACGTAGATTCGTGTTGTTATATCATGAAATTTCCATAAGCAGAATTACAGAATGGATAAAAAATAACAGGACCGGTAACGCACGCTCGGAGAGGTGTTGCCCTCTGACCTGTGTGTGGATAACAATGGACACGCGTCCTCACGAAAGTGTCTTCTCAGGCTGTCCTTTCTGTTTCCCGTGGATTAGGATAACATTGGTCCAGCCATCCTTCCAGCTACGCGTGCTGGTCCTCGTGCCTCTGATGATTTGAGAGATAACATTCCACTGGCTCCCTTTAAAGTCTCTCCGTCCCACCCCCTCTTTTCTCCCTCCTTCCACGCAGCGAGTTCTTTCACGACCAGATTGAAATGAACGCCTGAGGCTTTGAGCTGGACGCAAGTGTTTGGCAGTAACGTATACGCCTGTGTTAAACTGGTGCAATTGTTTGTAAAAGTTTCAGCTACTCATATGAACATTTTAGCTGAATTAAATGCTCAGTTATGATATTTTTAGAAAATCCTTTTTATATTAGGAGGGTTTTGAAGGACAGGAGTGTCACGCGAAGCCTGCCTCTAATATTTTTATTTTAATTAAATATTTTATGACCTAAATTGAGAGACATATTTGAGAAGATCCTAAAAATTCACTGTAATACAACGGGGTTATTAAAATTAACCGCAAGACGCTATAAAGATCATTAAAAATGTGTAAAGTTTAAAGGAAATTGTGACAAGTCAAGAGTAAAAAAAAGAGCGTAAAAATTTCACATCCATGTTGTTTTGTAAACTACCTGTTTACAAATGTATTTGTAAGACTGTGTTCTTCAGCACCAGCTGACCCATTGTTTGCCTTATGTAATGTACATGATTGTAAGTTCAGTCAACATAATTTTAAAACCTTTTCACAAAATCTAAGAAGTCACAATAATGATTTATCACAAGCATCGATGGGGCTACACACATAAATGTTATTTATTGGCATCTATGGTTCCTTTAACATCCATGGAACCAAAAGGTTCTTTATAGTGAAAAAAGGTTTTTGAGATAAAAAAAAAAGTTCTTCGCACTAAGAAAAAAAATGGTTCTTTTAAAAAATGTGTACTGAAAGATTCTTTGGGAACCAGAAATGGTTCTTCTACAGCATTGCTGCAAAACTCCCTTTCTGAGGTTTTATTTTTAAGAGTGAAAGTATTGTGTGAGTATTCATCAAGCCATGATCTTCCAGTTAGTATAATGATATGTTGTGAGATGCAAGATTATGCGATTACATGGGTAGAGAACGGACTTGAATAGGTTTACTTTTCTCAATTATAGAGACAGAATTTTAATAAGATATTTCTCATAAAAGATAAAAGGGACAGTTTGTTTAATGTATTGCCAAACTTCTCATAAAAGACCTGTAAAGATGATTTCACTCTAATAGACATGTCAGTGGCAAATAGATCCACCCAGTCTGCGCATGTGATTCGAAAATACAGTTGTAATATAATCAGTAAAATGAATGTATATTTTAATACCAAGTTTGATGAGAGAAAAAGGTCTTTATTATAAAATGAAATCATTGGAATTCTTCAGGATTCACATATCATTCTCAGACCGATTATGTGCTAGACTATTATTGATCATGGCTGATGAGAAGTATTAGATTCCATTAAAACCTCTTATTTCTGTCCTCTGTTTGTGAACAAAGTCAGCTGGTCCACCATTTCCTACAACACACCCCTCCCCTCCTCACACATAGACATATAAATACAGAGAGTCAAAAGTGAGAAAGAGGCATATGGCTTCCAGAGTCACCCATCCCCCCTCTGCTGCCCTTTTTTGCCTGGTGCATGTGTTCAGATCTGGGCATTGCTTTGGGAAGGGGGCAAAGACCTCACTGACTGAATTAAGGTCTACTCTATATGTGTGTGTTGGGGCAGCTGGCTGATGTTGCTGGAAGGATGGAAAGATGGATGAGTGGATGGAGAGATGGATGGAGGCAGGATGTCTGACCCAGGGCCAGTGGAGGGGTATGAAAATAGTAAGACCCAGAGAAAGAGAAAGAAAAAAAAAACAATAGAGGGGAGGACATGGAGGCAGAAGAGAACTGGGCATAAAGAGGGAAAAACACAAAGGGATGGAATATTTTGACTGAAAAATTGAAGATTTTTGGACAATATTATGAGCATTATGTTATGTGTGGGCATGAATCTGTTTGTAAAGGCTTTGGTTTTGTATAATTTGGTTTAGTCAGATTATGCCATCACTGAAGGGAACATATGTTGTCCTGTGTGCTTACTTTCAGGATGGCTGGTGGAGATCATAAGTATTGATCTCTGTTGTTCATGGTGAATAGAACAATAGATTGCAGCTCATTTCACGGCTTAATTCAGTCCAAGTACGCGGTCAATAAGATTACCTTCTGCCGGGCCAAGCTGTGAGGCATGTAAATTTAAATCATATAAAACAAATTTCCAATGCTTTATTGTTATTGTGTGTAGTACAAAATATTCCCCATCTGCATCATCTCCAGATTTCTCCCTCATGTATGTAAAATACTTGACAAAAAAAAAAAAATTTCAGTAGCACCAAGTATAGCTTATATAAACTGTTGTTCAGCTAGATAGATAGATAGATTTTCAAAGCATTGCTTCGAAAATCACAATCAAATTTGAGAACTGGAACTAGCTGTTGTGTAATGTGGGATTTTTTTTTTGGATCACCTAATTTGAGAACTGGAACTAACTGTTGTGTAATGTGTGATTTTTTTTTGTTGGCTCATCTAATTAAGCAAATGTTTGCATGCCTGTTCATAGAATTTTAGTGATCTAGTGACTTGTTATCTAATTAAGATAAGTACATAACTTCTATACTTTTAGGAGGCTGAATGAGTTTGAACATGGATTGCTATACTGAGGGTAGTCTTAACTCAGCTGCGTGACTGACCCAGGCACTGGATAGCACCCATTACAGCCCCAATGAGAGCCAGCTGCAACTCATCAGCACAGGACACCTGAGCTCAGCCCTGCTTGGATATACTGCTCTTTACACACAATAACACTGGTGCACACAGACACACAATGTTACATACATTCACATGCATGCATAGGATTCTCAAGGACACCATCTAACATGGTTTTAGGGCTTATTGTTGCCGTTAATCTGACAGGAGCACAAAGAGTTACTATCCTTGTACGAGACAGGGAGACAAGAAAGATGAGCGATGGCATATATTTTCTTCTTTCTCACCTCTCCAGGGTGAGCTCAGATCAGAACACCTCCTCCTCCGCCATTAATTGGGATCAGGTGGGGATCAGCTGGACCTTCAAGAAGGGGGGCAGAGGGTTTATGTGTGTGTGTTTTGGTAGTGGTGCTGATGAGCAGGAGGGTTGGGTGCCAGGCCGGCCGGGGGCCAATGTTGCACCTGTGAGAGATCCTGGAGGCAAATCTGGGTGTAGATGCATGGATATGATTGGAAAGGTCCATCGTTGCACCTGCACAGAGGCGATTGAAGTGTTTGACAAGCCCAGATATATATATATATATATATATATGTATATATATATAAACTAACTTTGGCTTTCATGAAACATTCAAGAAGTGTGCTATGTGTGGCTGCACTCCTGGGCGGAAAGAATGAATTGGTCAGTCCTTTCCCCCCAAGAACAATCTTTGAGGTGTAAATAACTGAGACAAAGAGGGAGTTAAGAGAGTACCAACATCTTTCTCCCTTTTTGCTTTTCTCTGTCTCTCTCTTTTTCCCTCCCACTTTGTCTCCGGGGACTGTAGCCTGGC